CTCTGACCTGGGGACGGTGTCTGCCTGCCTAGCAGGCACTGAAAGTGTTGAGAAAACTCTTATTTTATGTCTATTTTGGTGGTGTTTTTTTCTTTAGCTGAGCTTTCACTCTTCAGAGGAGACACATCAAACCCCAGAGCCCACCCTAGATCTCGTGGCCATCCTACGTGTCCCCACGGAGCCTTGTCCCTGGTGTGGGCACCCAGGAGCTGGCTGGGGGGCACAGAAGGGTGGTGGTCCCGTTGTCCCCATGCCCCTGGGGGGTGGGAGCAGGGCTGCTGTGCCCAGCTCTGCTCTGGCTGCCCGGTGGTGCTGCCTGGTGGGTTTTCTGGTGGTTGTTTCTAGGCGAGGTTTGCAAAAGGTCACAAAAATTAATCTTCTAACTGGGGACCTTGGCGCTGCGGGGAATGAATGTTTTGCATTAACAACCTAACTCGTTAATTCACTGAAACATTTAAAACCAAACCAGTTACATCCAGCCAAGCTGGAAAAAGCTGAAAGTTCATACTCAGCAGTGGAGATTTCGAAACCTCCCTTTGTTAATCTCTGCAGAAGTAAATTTTCTGAAATTGCTAAGCTCACTTTGACTGGTCTCAGCATTGTTTTCCTCAGCGGAGGCAGAGCTGCTCTGCCAAGGGTTGGTGGCGTGTACCTGGACCTGCTGATGGGGACAGGCAGGCTCCTGTGCTGGGAGGAAGGCCGAGGTGACCTTATTGTGGCCTTCCAGTATCTTAGGGGGGCCTACAGGAAAGCCGGGGAGGGACTTCTTAGGATATCGAGTAACAACAGGACTGGGGGAATGGGGCAAAGCTGGAAGTGGGCAGATTCAGGCTGGATGTGAGGAAGAAGTTCTTCCCCAGGAGAGTGGTGAGACCCTGGAATGGGTTGCCCAGGGAGGTGGTTGAGGCCCCATCCCTGGGGGTCTTTAAGGCCAGGCTGGAGGAGGCTCTGGGCAGCCTGATCTAGTGGGAGGTGTCCCTGCTCATGGCAGGGGGGGTGGAACTGGGGGATCCTTGTGGTCCCTTCCAACCCCGACAGATTCTGATCTGTTTTAGCAGAGGACTTTAGAGCCCTAATGGCTCAATGGTTGGACTTGATGATCATGGAGGTCCCTTCCAACCTAAAGGATTCTATGATTCTATGAAGGGGAGTTGGTATGGGCAGTGCCCGTAGCAGTGTTGAAGGTTTTTGGGGCTGTCCCTAGCAGAAATGCTGTGTTGTTTTCATAGGTTGGGATCCTGGATTTCACAGTTCCCATCTTCCTTTATTACTGTTTTTTAAATCTTTAGGGCTAGTTGAAATCACAGCCTTGCACATCCCATGGTGTTCCTCCTGCTGGAGCTGGGCTGCTGCAATCCGAGCTGCCCAAAGGAGCTTTTTTGCTGCCTTTCCTTGCAGCATTAGGTTTTTTTTTGGGAGCATCACTGAGACTCTGTTGGTTTGATTCTGCTTTAAGTTGATTTTCCCTCAAATTTCCCACAGCAGTGGCAGGTTTAGGTGGGAAGATCATTTGACCCGCTTCCTTTGCTCCCTCACTATTAAATTAGCAGGTATAAATTAAAAAGGAACCATCAATTTCAGTACAATCCCTTTGTCTGCCAGGTAACAATTTCATTCAGCTAATGCCTCTTTGCTCCAGTTCATCATAAAATAATACAGAGGAAATCAAGTTCCTCACACACTGCTGTGTAAATTGGTCTGAGGTGTTTGCAGCAGCGGTATCCTGAGCTCCGCTGTGAGGCTGGGCTCTGAAGGCTTCATTTGCCTGCCATTTATTTATCCTGTCCATTTAAACAGCCTCACTTACTTTAATGACAGAGAAATGAGTGAATTATCCCTTCTGTTATACATTAATAGTGTATTAAAGTATTAGTGCATTCCAGAAGGTGAGCGGTGAATAAAACATGCTCCGAACATGCGGTTATGCAACTGTTCCGTGGAAATCAAAGGGACAAACAGCACATTGGATTAATTCTTTTCCTTTTTTTTTTTCCCCCCAGTAAATTGGCACCGTGATTCACTTCCAGCTAAATTTGCAATCTGTGTTCTCAGGTGGCATTAATATCAGAGCCCCAGCAGGAGAGCTGAGGCGGCTGGGGCCGCTTTTGATTGCGCTTGGAAGGGAAGTTGTCGGAGGGAGCACGGAGCTGGATGCAAATGTGCTGCTCGATGAAAGGCAGAGCTTTTAGGTTCTCCCTAGGTGGGTCAGGCCATTCCCATTTCTCCACAATCATAGCTCGGGGAGAGGCACTCTGTAAACGTGGCACAATGGGGGGCTTTGTCTCCCTCGCTCAGTGTCAGATTCCCTCTGTTGACAGATAAAAATCATCTTTTTGATATCTGGCGGCTCCATGAACACGAGGTGAGGTCTGCCTGGGACTCGAGCTGCCTCAGTCATGGAGACTCTGGAACTGGATCTCTATCAGCAGTTTGCTGGGAACAAAAAAGCTTGCAGAGGGCTCAGCAGTTTCTCCCCGGCTTGTGTTAGAGCTGCAGAGTAAAATAAAATACAAATTCCCTTTTGCTTCCTTGACACCAAACTCCTTTCAGCCTTTAAAGCTGCATTTTGTAGCCTTCGGGCTGGTCTTACTCGTTCTTCTCCTAATTGTCTGAGCTTGGGAAGGTCGTCGTGTCTTGCTAGATTGTGTAATATTTAACTTAGCATCAAAAATGGAGGATTTTGGGGTTGGTGTCAGATGGACGCGGTTCCCCTCGGAGCAGCAGAGCCCATTCAGAGTCATCCAAGCATTCCACTTGCTCACGCTAATGAAGAACTCCCTGGACCTCTGCAGAGGGAAAAACTAGCCATGAAAAGGTGGGATGAGAGTGGCACAGAGCAGGTATTGAGAGCCTGCCATTCGCATGGTCTAAATCCAGCTCACAGCTTTTAATAAATAAAAATCTTTTTATTTATAGATTTTTTTTTGGGAAGTTATCCTTCCTAGCCTTTTCGTGGAGCTTTGGTACAGCCGTGTCTTTCCTGGTGCCAAGTTCAGGGATGACTAACGCTCTTTACAGGACTGTTTTGTAATCTCAGCTCAGCCCACGTTAACGGGAAGTTACGTTTCCCCATCCAGCCTTTTAAACGGTGCCTGAGAGCTGCTGAGGCCAGAGCTGGCCATCCAGCCTTCCCTGTTTGGAAAGAATGATGTCAGCTTTCCAAACAATTGTTAAAAAAAAATATAAAAAAAATATAAAAATGCCTCGTGAACTCAGGGAGGTCAAACTGTACTTCCTCCTAGTTTGATTTTATTTTGCATTAGGACCTTTCATTCCTCTGTTCTGAAAGCTACCGCCCAAAATAAGCAGAGGAGGGTATTGCATAAGCCCCACGAAGTCATTTGCCCACTCTGCATTTCTCAGGGCACGGGATCAGCTCAGAATATCTGATGTGAGAAAGCTGCTGGGGCACCACTGCTGTAAGCGATAGGAGTTACCTCTGTGAGTCATCGGGTAGGGTGGTAAGTTGGATGTTTGGGGTTTGGGTTTTTTTTTTTTTAAGCTGGAGTTTTTATGAGTGTTTCATAAAGCTCTGTTACTGTAAATCCCAGGAAAACCTGGCACTGAGTCTGTGTAATATGAATCAGTGCATCCATATGCTTCCAGGTGACCTTGAAATGTGGAAAAACACCATTTTATCCCTGGGTTTCAAAACAGAAAAGCAGAGTTGCTGCAAGAAAGGCTGGCAGAAGGGTTAAGGCAGAGATGTTGCTCCCTCAGCGGGACTGGCACCAGGCAAGTGGCTCTGGTGCCAGCTACAGCAGACAGCTCTGCTGCCCTCGGGTCGTGCTCTCCAGCACGGAGCTGTGCAGATGGCAAAGCTACAGCAGGGCCAGGAATAACGTTGTGGCTAATGCCCTGGCCAGCCCTGGCCTTCCACGGGCTGGAGCAGAACGGGAGCAGCTTTAGCTTCAGAAAAAAATAAAACCCCCCAAAACCTCACAAACCAACAGGCTTTTTGGTTGTAATATTGTTTTTTTTTTTAATGTGATGGGTCTCTGGTCACCCCAAACCCTGCAAAATGGGTTTGTGTGGCAGAGAAAGCAAGAAATTACATGTTCTTAGGAAATAGCTCCAGTGCGCTGAGTTGGGTGAATGCCAGGAGCTGCCAAGGTGGTGGGAAGGGAAGGCTGGGAGCAAGGAACCTGTGTGTGATGCTGCCCTTGAGTTTTGGGGCCTTACCTTCTCATGCAGCTCCAGCTAGAGACTCGACAGATGCTGTTAG